AGCTACAGAATAGGGTAGAGTGGTTAACTATTCTGTGTACCCCCACAGGTAATAGTAGCCCCAGTTTTTCGCGTTATAAGTCCACTAGAGCCAAAGCTACAGAATGGGTAGAGTGGTTAACTTTTCTGTGTCTCCCACAGGAATGTAGCCCCAGTTTTTCGCGTTATAAGCCACTGAGCCAAAGCTACAGAATGGGTAGAGTGGTTAACTTTTCTGTGTCCCCCACAGGAATGTAGCCCCAGTTTTTCGCGTTATAAGCCACTGAGCCAAGGTAATAGCTTAAAACAAAAAAATAATAATACTGTAATGATATTAAAAACAAAAGAATGAAAGTATGAACGCCAGTGGAGAAAATACGAGAAACAAATATAATTTATACTCATTTTGAATAAATCTGGAGGATCCAGTAAACTATATTCTTATTCAATGTATAACAAATTTTCTAAAAATGTTTTCAAATTGTATGTTTTACGGATTAAAATGTTATACCAATTAAACAATAATTACTATTTAAGCTATAAGAGATTTTTCTCAACACCTTAGTTTCCTACAAATCTAAGGGTATAATTTGATTCTGCATTACCTTGAAAACAGAGAGTTAAATATTAACCACTGTACACATATTTTCAATGTTATCCTACTAAAATGATCTGTTTTGTTTTTGATCGCACAGCCAACTATTGCACACATCTTCCCAGTGTTAATCAACTATGAGTATAGGTGCTATTTTGTGTTGCATGGTCAACAATTGTACACGTCCTCTCAGAGTCATCCTACTAAGATGACCAATTTCATCTTAAGTTGTACAGTCAACAATTGTACGAGTCTTCCTAAAGTTATCCAATTAAAATCATTGTTTTCATTTTAAGTTGTAACAGCAAACCATTGTACGCATCTTCCCAATTTTATTTTACTAAGACGATCAGCTTTGTCTCATGTTGCACAGCCAACCATTGCACACATTTTCTCAATGTTATCCTACTAAGATGATTGGTTTTGTTTCAGGTTGCATGGTCAACCATTTTACCCATTATCCATATGGTGTATACTAATAAGACAATCGATTTAGTTTTGAATTCTTCATTGCACCCATCTTTCCAATATTATCCTACTGTGATAATTGGTTTAGTTTTTTGTTACAAATTCAACCATTGTAAACATTTTCTCAATGTTATCCTACTAAGATTATCGGTTTTGTTTCAGGTTGCATGGTCAACCATTTTACCCATTATACATATGGTGTATACTACTAAGACAATCGATTTAGTTTTGAATTCATCATTGCACCCATCTTTCCAATATTATCCTACTGTGATAATTGGTTTAGTTTTTTGTTACAAATTCAACCATTGCAAACATCTTTTCATTGTTATATTATTAAGATGCTCGGTTTAGTTTTGGGTTGCATAACTAAACACCATACACATCTTTCCAGTGTTATCCATCTAAGTTTATCGGTTTCATTTTTGGTTACAGAATTAATCCTTGTACATATCTTCCCAATGTTATACTAATAAGTTGATCGGTTTCATCTTGTAATGCACAGTCAACCACTGTACACATCTTCGCAATATTATCATAAGAAGATGATCAGTTTAGTTTTGGGTTGAATGTCCAACCACAATTCACATCTTTTCAGATTTATCAAACTAAGACGTTCAGTTTTGTTTTGAGTTACACAGCAAATCATCGTTCACATCATCCTAACGTTATTTTTCTAAGATGATCAATCAGTTTAGTTTTGAATTGCACGGACAACCATTGTAAACATCTTTCCAATGTTATCTTAACTGAGATGATGGATTCTGTTTTGGGTTACATGGCAAACCACTGTACACATCTCCCTAGTGTTTTCCAAATAAGATTATCGGTTTTATTTTTGGTTGCGCGGTCAACTGTTATACACATTTTCCCAATGTTATCCTACTACGCTGGTTAGCTTCATCTTATATTGCACGGTCAAACATTGTAAACATCTTATCAAGGTCATTCTACTGAGATGATTGATTTTATTTTCGTTTGCACGGTCAATCACTGTACACATCTTCCCAGTTTTATCCTACTAAGATGGTCGATTAATGTTCAGTTTCACGGTCAATCATTATACACATCTTCCCAGTTTTATCCTACTAAGATGATCGATTAATGTTCAGTTTCACGGTCAATCACTGTACACATCTTCCCAGTTTTATCTTACTAAGATGATCGATTAATGTTCAGTTTCAAGGTCAATCATTGTACACATCTTCCCAGTTTTATCTTACTAAGATGATCGATTAATGTTCAGTTTCACGGTCAATCACTGTACACATCTTCCCAGTTTTATCTTACTAAGATGATCGATTAATATTCAGTTTCAAGGACAATCATTGTACACATCTTCCCAGTTTTATCGTACTAAGATGGTTGATTAATGTTCAGTTTCAAGGACAATCATTGTACACATCTTCCCAGTTTTATCCTACTAAATGATCGGTTTCGTTTTGAGTTGCATAGCCAACCACTGTACACATCTTCCCAGTGCTATCCAACTAAATTTATCGGTTTCATTTTCGGTTGCCGGGTCAAACATTGTACACATCTTCCCAGTTTCATTCTACTAAGATGATCGGTTTTCTTTTGGGTTGCACAGCTACCCACTGTACACATCTTTCAGATGTCACATTACTAAATCGATTTGGTTCTGGGTTCACAATTGTGACCATCTTTCCAATGTTATCCTACTATGATGGTTAGTTTAGTTTTTGGTTGCACGTTCAACCACGGAACACATCTTCCCATTGTTATCCAACTAAGTTTATCGTTTTCATTTTAGGTTGCTCCGTCAACCATTGTATACATCTTCCCAATTTAATCACATTAAGACAATCGGTTTTGTTTTGGGTTGCATGGTCAACCACTGTACACATTTACCCTATGTTATCCTATTGAGATGATTGGTTTTGTTTTACATTGAATGATCTTTCAATATAGAGAACTGTGAGATTTTCACATTATTCGAACCAATACTGACACTAAGGGTATTTTCACTGAACAACCTGTTATTGCTTTTAGAAACAATCAGCGCCTTCGGAATACCCTTGTTCACGTTAGCTTTACTAACTATATTCATCCCGACACTCCTCCTGGTTGTGTCTCCTGCAACCGACCACGTTGTGTAACTTGCCGACACATTTGACAATTGAATTTCAGTGACATTTCCACAAAATAGGTTTTACATTAGAAATACTTTTACCTGTTTATCACAATGTTTTATACACTGCATTGTTTGTGACATTTGTAACTTTGCTGTACATTGGTGAGACTGGTCGCAAAATCAGTGGCAGATTTCGCGAACACAGACGATACGTATTAAATTGTAATCTTAACTTATCATTCTCACGACACTTTTTTAGACAATCACACGACTTGTCACATCTCAGACTTGTCGTTGTAAGATTTACATATTACATCAACTGACCGTTATTTACGTGAACGCGATGAACAACGCCTTATTTATACTCTAGGTACAATTTCTCTATTTGTTTTAAACGAGAAATTTACTTTTTTGTAACTTTACTTTTGACATCATCCCAATTTTCTCACTATTAACTCTCAGCTTTGTATTTCTTTACACTTTTCTTTTTACTTCTCTTTCGTCATTAATTTACAACAATTGATTCGCCAGTATTGTTACATCACACTTCGAACCATGTTTCGCACGTTCTCCGTCTCCTATTGTTACCTTTCTTTAGTGATATTCGAATGTGCTGTGTTTTTCGACTTTAGAAAACATCATCAGGCACGAAATGTGGCGTCAAATTAAAATTTATTACTAGCGAAAATATTGTACCTGTTTTGGGATCTATATGGACAGGTGGGATGCCCATATGTGCTGGAGGTGGTTGTGTGAAAGCATCACCATTATACATCATGAAAGGAAGAGGTGATGATGGATGAGGTGAAGAAACCATGGTAACCTTACCAGCCTACGAAAAAATAAAATAAAATAGATCACAAATATTCAAGAAAAATTATTTTCTCACATCAATTTGGCTTTTGATTAAAATTTATCATACTAAAATACATCTTACACATAGAGGGTGGCTAAAAAAATGAGTTCACCCTAACTAATTTCAATTTCTTTTCTTCAGATTGATTCTGAAATTTGTCTCAATAATCCTGATCACTATGAATACTACTGTAGAGTGAAAGTTAACTGAGAAAATGATCCCAAATTTATAAATATGTAAGTAAATAGGGATTGGTACTGTGCAAATCAATTTTGGGACATGCTATATGTTTTGGTATGTAAAGTCCTTTTTTATATACACATTCACAAACCTGTGGTCAGTACTTAATCATTAGCTGTCCTGTGATAAGTGAAAGTATTTGTTATATTTTCTCTAACAATACAAAAAAGCTGAAATGTATTTCATATTTGTGATAAAAAACTTTCATTTGAGTCGATAAAAAAACTGGAGAAGTAACATACTTGACAGTAGTTCTAAGGTAGAATACAAGTAACTGAAACATGAAAACAACAGACCTCCATGTTCAAATACTTTATAAAATTTTATTTAGTCACAGGAATTTACAATGGGAATAATTAAATATTTATAATAGTCATTCTGAATAAGTATTTAGTTATGCATGATATCTATTACAGTCTTAAAAATTAATTCAATTGAGGTAATTGAACAAAATATTTTAAATGTTTTTTTTTCCTTTTATGCACAAAACTACACAATGAGTTATCTGAATTCAGGTCACCTAGAGCATCATAACCTGATTTTTAGCAATATAAATCCCCAAGCTTTTATGAGTTACTGAGAGAACCTACTTGAAATGCAAAAATATGATTAAACTTTTCAACCTTACCTCTTTCATTAATTATACTTAACATAATTTTCCCACTTTCTTAAATAATTATGACATTTTGCTAAATGTATTATTTTAAAAACACAGTTTAATGTAAATACATATAAAATAGTGTCAACTGAAAACCCTTCCACATACTGCATAATCCATCTATTAATACCATCATATGAAATGTAAATATTTATCACAAGCACATCTGATACCCAAGATCAAATATAAACTTTTATTTTTGTCAATTAACACAATCAATAAGTTATTAGCATTTTAACTTGAAGATGTCATGTGCAGTAGCACCACTGATATCTGCTTGATAGCATTTTTTGTCCTGTAATTTTCTATATTATTATTAGTTAACTCACAGTAGATGGGAATTCACACAGCAAATGTTATTTGCAAACTGCATTTGGCAGCACGGCAGGTCGACTGATGTTCCCTGACAAGGTTCTTTTGATCTTGCCGACAACTCCCTCCTGCACATGAGTCCAATGTAGAAATTCTACATAATGCGCCAGTTGTCAATTCCCACTAGTGATGGATGACGGTTTAAATTAGATGTTTCAGTATGCAATGATAATTAGTATCTTACAGTGGCTGACTACTGCAGTTGCTTGGTATGATCGGAGAGTGCAGTAAGCTCACTGCACCAAATAGCATTATTGACAATGATAAAAAGTACTGTCTACAATGAAAGGTGGGAAGCCAGGCAAGAGATAGGAGATTACGAATCCCAAAGAGAGAAATGTACTGAAGACACACGTGGCTCCATTAGCCTAGCTGATGCATTTGATTCCTCAATGAACAAAAGCAACAGCAGGCAGACGTGAAGCAGATTGACAAATCCCAACCTTTTCTCTGGTCTTTGACCATTTTACTACTCCTGTCCCATTGCAGGAACATTCATACAACAAGAAAATTGGCCCAAGCCCCTTTCCACTTCATTAGGTATGTTAAAAAGAAACTTACTCTCCCCCTCTTTTGTACAAATGCTCCAATAGTTTTCAATGAAATGGGAAAATTATGAGAGAAAAACCATTTTGTATACAGATGTTTACCCACTTTTAAACTTGTTCCTATTGTATATATTTTTTATTCTTTTTGTGGTGTTATATAACAACTCTGTTTAAAAAAGAAAGAACTAATCCAAATCTAGTATTCATTTAAATGGTATAAAACCCTTTACATGTTAATTTGTTTATTTAAAAAGGCTATTTGTCTATTTACTATTAACAAACAATACAATATTAGCTTATTATTCAATAGATATTTTTATCGTCATGAATTTTGGAAATAAAAAGCTCTAAAGTTCCTATCAGTAACTTCATATTAGCAATAAGTCTGTAAGACACCAAAGGCAGTACTAGTGATACTTATCTTCATTAACTTACTGCATTTATTTCTAGTAGCAATTTAGTTTTGCTTACCAAACAGCTTTAACATATATAAAAAAAGAAGTAAAATATATCATATCTAGCTGTAATGATTGGATAAGGTGATTTTAATATACAGTTTTTATACTTTGAGCATTTAATCTAGTGGTAGCCAATAAAAAAAATAACACAGAGATTTTCATAATGTATCTATTTCTTTTGGTCAATGAGAATGAGTATAGATTTTATGGGCTTCTTTTAAAACTGGCAAGTAAAATCAGGAGTTTTAGACAAAGAAAGAAACTAAACAAATTAGCAGCATAATGCTACAACACGTCTTTGATTTTCTCTCAGTTATCTACCAACTAAATGGATGATTTCATAAAAATATTAACTTTCAAGTTAATGAAAACATTTACATTCCTTACATGTATGATTATGCCATATTTATTATACTTGAACACTCACTTTAAAATATATATGTGTGTGTGTGTGTGTATCATTTGATTAAAATAAAGTAAAAAAAATCCACAACTCCCTAGTTTATTTTCATAACTTCAATTTGTAGCTTGTAGCTGAAAAAATAATAATTTTGCTAACTGAATATAATAGCATTATTTAGTGTAAATAAAGTTGTTGACTTAAATTCTTTCATTATACATATTGATAAAAGTGTAAAATTTTCAATTTATCTTATATTTCACCCTGAAAACCAATTGATCTAAAATATGTATATCTAATATTGATCGACAAATTATTATAAAGCCTATGTTCATGTAAACCATATCGTAAAAAGGGTTTACAGAATTTAATTTACAGCTCAGTAAATACGAACTTGGAGTAAATATGAAATGCAATACATTGTTTTAATAACACATCAAGTACATTTCTAATGAAGTTATCAAAAACAGTGTGGAGTAATTCTAATGAAGCTATTAAGAACAGTGTAGAGATTTTCTAATGAAGCTATTAATTATAGTGTGTAGGATTATTTTGAAATATACAGCGCTGTAAGCTATTTTCCTATTTAAATTATTAAGTTCAAAATTTTTGTGTATGGGTAAAAATAATTAAATTTGGTTCACGCTACTGTATAGCATTTTCTAAGCCTATCTTGCTACCAATAATAAAACTTTAATTGTTCATGTTCCATAGCTAAGACAGTGAGTTGAAGAATCAGTCATTCATGCAATTTTACTGGTTAATTCTAAAGTCTCATGTAAGACGTCTTTTTCTGCATTTATCTCAGTGTCTTACTCTATTTGCAAGCTCATTAAAAGCCGACTGACTGCAAGTCAAAGTAACCATGCAAGCCGCAATAATTGATTATTTCCTCCAACTCTTTCCCCCTTATACAAGTAACGTTTTAAGTTGGAACTTCTAGGCTCGCATTATAATCCATATAGCATTCCAAGAGGGTTTTCAACTATCATGATACAAGTAGTCCACTTGAATAGGCGGTTTCTTCCATATCTTCCTCTTGGAAAGGGTGGGTAAAGCTTAGTCAGCCACTGTGCAAAATAAGAAAAGAAAAACGAGGCAATATTGGTTCACTCTTAACATTTTGTCCTCGTGCATGATCTGGAAACAGTTAGAAAAGATGTTGATTAGTTTTTGCGTCTTTCCTATTTCATTCCATAAATTTCAAAAGAAAACTACAAAAGAAAATCAAATATATGAAGCAAATTTGTTTCGTGTAAGTTAATCACTGATGGAAGTTCAGCGGATGTTATGTCACAACAGAAAAGTCAGTTGCCATAGAAACTTCGTCGATTCAAAGCACAAAGATAAAGATTTCGTCATTCCTTACCAGAAAACTGATACAGTAAACAATATGATTAACAGACTCGCGTCTTTAGTATTTCGTAAATACTTTTATTTATTTTTTGTAACGAACTACAAAAATAATGAAATTTCGTTATTCAAACTTAATTTTACGAAACTATAATTTCATAATTTTTTAGATTATTCTAAAAAGATAAATGACAAAAAAAAAACGAATGAAGATCAATAGATTATCTTCTTTCACAAACATATTTGTATGATTTCTATTTGTTGAGATGGAATTTATTTTTATTTTTTTAGTTATAATTTAACTGAGTTCCAGCATTAGTAAATGTACTTAGATATAATTCTCCATTGCTTTTGAGTGTTATAACCGCAGATATCTTTCTCTGGATCATTTTAATACAACTTTAGTACTTTATGATTTGATCTGATTTTGGCTTATTAATAATCAAATTAATATTTTAACTTTAACTTGTCACAATTGAAAATATTTATAATTCTTCATTGTTATAAGGTGTTGAAATTTCACTCTCATACAAATGATGCAAGTATTGCAATTATTTTTTACAAGCTGAGTAAAAAAGTCAGATTTCAAATCTATGGTTCATCATCCTATGTCCGGGTGATGAACTTCAAAAAATGTATGGGTGGATGCTATGATAAATAACACAAAAAGCCTGACTTTCACACAATTTATTTATAACATAACATATTATTACAGCATTCATTACTACCTCACCCAAAGTTTTGCATAAGCTTTAAGAACTCACTGTGAATATGTACTTAAAACATGGTATACATTGTGCGATGGTCAGGGTGACTTTGTACGAATAAGTAGCGGCCAATGTAGTATCGGTTAGGGTGCTTTCTGTTACCCGCTTTCAACACCCAGCTCTTAATCTCCTTCCACATTGTTTCACCTTATTAATTAATTGACGGTCATTCGCCGCAGAAGTGTCTTAAGGGATGAAGTTGTAAGGTTACGGGTTAAAGTAGGAAGTGGGTATAACTGAATAAACAGCTCTTCATATCAGTGGCTGTTGTATTAGAAAATTCATCTGAATTTATGTATTATTGTAATAGTGACGGCCATTTTTGTCATTGCATTCGACTATAAAGAGTGCTAGCGCACTCTTTGAGCTATATAATACGTCTGTGCTCTCTCCCCCACACTGTGTGTATATTGTGTTATAGAAAATTTAATAGTTTATTTTTTGTTCGGTTTAAAGTCGTGGCGCCGTGTATGAATGTAGTTAGCATTAACTTACACCAAAGATAATAAATGCTCAATAACAGCAATAATGGGATGGAGGGAATTGTGAATCTGCATTAACATGTTCCAAACTATCATCCCATAAAGTTTGGTTGAGATTGGCTTAGCGATCTATGAGTATTTAAATAACGGACGGACAGATAGACAAACAGATAAACACACATATTTCTGTGTTTTATATAGATAGACAAGCAAAAGTACCCGTCCCCACTGACGGGAAAATTTATGCCAATCTATCAAGTTAAATTATTTCATGGACTTTAAAAAGGTTAATTGTGTTGCACTCTTGGTTTTTATCAGAGCCAAAGCTTTAAGCTACTTACACCGCGAAAATTAATTGTTGAGTATTTTAGTCATACTAACATATGGTAAATCTAAATTTTTTTCTTTAAGTTACGGAAATTTTGAAATGTGAACGATATTGTAGTTAATTTCTAACAAGTTATTGTAGAATATTCTGCTTGCGAAATGAAATTTGGCATCAATATTATTCATGTCTGTTCTCCTGTAACTTCAAAAGTGAAATTTGAGCTTTGCCTGCGTGCGCAGCTTTTCAAACGCAGCGCAGGAAGCAGCCGTCGTAAATGGGAGATAGACGAACGCTCGAATGGACACCACTAATTATATAAACATAATATATTAGTTCACTCTAGCATTCTGTCTTCGTGAATGATCTGGATTAGAAAATATGTCGATTGTTTTTGCCTCTTTCCTATTTTATTCTATAAATATCCAAAAATTATAAAACAACAGTCTTCATTTTTTAACGGTCATAGTTATGGCGTATATTACCTTGTTACTACAATACGTCATAAAGATAATAAAAAAAGTAAGGAAGTTCAACTGGCGCTGCTAGAAATACATGGGTCACACAAATAAAATAGATATAAACTGTATATTATATAGAGAGAAAATAATCTAATGGTATTTGGTGAAAATTAGTTAGTTTTGTACAAAGAAGATCTGGTGCTCGAGAAAATGGCATACGAACGAAACTATCAAAAAACGTATCAGAATGTGCCTTCCAATACTGTATATTATATCTTATTATACTTTTATAAGTACCAGGGGAAAATTAGAGGCCTAACTGACATTTTTGTGTAAATTCACATTAATTCTTCTATTGTTCTTTTTTTTGTTTTT